ATTATCTGAACCGGTACTGGGCCTCCCCTAGGTCGACTCAGCCTCAAATGAGTACCTGGTGCGGTGTTAAAAACATCGCCACTGTGGAACAAAGGCGGTTGGGCGTGGTGCTGGCCACCCACCCCTTCGTGTACAGTTTTCGGCCTTCATAGGTGCTCGTTCACAGCACTTGCCCCAACAGTCTGTTACAGGCAATACGGGGGATCTTTGTCTTTTTGTTTGAGCGGTAATGTAGTTGGGCATCCCCTCCCTCCATTGACAACCACCATGAGTTGTTTTCAACAGTAGTCTAAAAGGGGCCGTCCATAAGTGACGTCACGCGATTTTTGACCCCCCCTCCCCCCTCGTCACACGGTGCCACAAAAGTCAGACCCCCATCAAATATGACGTCACAAAGCTCTGCCCCTCCCCCCCCCAAAACCATATTTCCATTTTGAAAATAAAATATGCTTCAAATCACTTTAAACTATTGTCATTGTAGTGCGTGTTTAATGTGGCGCTGCACGTATTTAAAAGGAGGCGTTGGAAAGCTGAATTTTAGCATTAAATTTACTTGAAAATATTCAACGTCTAACTACAACTGCGGATGTTCAGAATATTACAATTGAAGTTATCTTCTTCTTTGGTTCTTTCGGTAAAGTCACATAGAATGAGAATAAAATATTATTGTGTTATTTTATTTTATCAATTTATTATTTTATTCTCATTCTACGTGACTTTGCCGAAAGAACCAAAGAAGATTAATCCTTGCAGTCACGAAAGCTTTAAATTGAAGTTATCTTATAATTAGAAAATATTAAAAGTAATTATAACTATAAAAAATACTTGAAACCTTGTAGTAGAACGAAGCAAATGGATAACAATCATATATCATTCCACAGAATGAAAAGCCCTGGTAGAATCATTAAAATAAAAATGTTTAATAACAATCATTATTTTTAAAAATAAAATTTATGCTTCTCCATTCTCCCACGGAGAAGCAAAATGCTCCTTCATGGAATAAATAAAAGGTTACCTTAGTAAATTTAAATAATCAAATAATTATGAATTATATTCTTAGTTTTTTCGGTAAAGTCACGTTGAAGAGAAACAAAAAATAACAAAATATATACAAAACAATAAAAAATTCTCACGACGTTTCGACCATAACTCAAACGGTCATCATCAGGTGTGTCCGTTTGAGTTATGGTCGAAACGTCGTGAGAATTTTTTATTGTTTTATATATATTTTGTTATTTTTTTGTTTCTCTTCAACGTGACTTTACCGAAAAAACTAAGATATGAATTACTGTAGTCACGAAAGCTTTAAATAAAAAATTATGAATTAGTCAATTAATCAAAATTAGTGTTGTTATAACAATTAAATTGTTTATATTTATTTAAGTTCTCAAACCCCCCCCCGCCCCTCGTCACACATCGTCAAAAATGTCTGACCCCCCTCCCCCCTAGGTGTGTGACGTCATATATGGACGGCCCCAAAGGACGCAAATACAGTGAGGGAAAAAAGTATTTGATCCACTGCTGCTTTTGTACGTTTGCCCACTGACAAAGAAATGATCAGTCTATAATTTTAACGGTAGGTTTATTTGAACAGTGAGAGACAGAATAGCAACAACAAAATCCAGACAAAACGCATGTCAAAAATGTTATTAATTGATTTGCATTTTAATGAGGGAAATAAGTATTTGACCCCCTCTCAATCAGAAAGATTTCTGGCTCCCAGGTGTCTTTTATACAGGTAACGAGCTGAGATTAGGAGCACACTCTGAAAGGGAGTGCTCCTAATCTCAGCTTGTTACTTGTATACATAAAAGACACCTGTCCACAGAAGCAATCAATCAATCAGATTCCAAACTCTCCACCATGCCCAAGACCAAAGAGCTCTCCAAGGATGTCAGGGACAAGATTGTAGACCTACACAAGGCTGGAATGGCTACAAGACCATTGCCAAGCAGCTTGGTGAGAAGGTGACAACAGTTGATGCAATTATTCGCAAATGGAAGAAACACAAAAGAACTGTCAATCTCCCTCGGCCTGGGGCTCCATGCAATATCTCACCTCGTGGAGTTGCAATGATCATGAGAACGGTGAGGAATCAACCCAGAACTACACGGGAGGATCTTGTCAATGATCTCAAGGCAGCTGGGACCATAGTCACCAAGAAAACAATTGGTAACACTACGCCGTGAAGGACTGAAATCCTGCAGCGCCCGCAAGGTCCCCCTGCTCGAGAAAGCACATATACATGCCCGTCTGAAGTTTGCCAATGAACATCTGAATGATTCAGAGGACAACTGCGTGAAAGTATTGTGGTCAGATGAGACAAAATGGAGCTCTTTGGCATCAACTCAACTCGCCGTGTTGGAGGAGGAGGAGGATGCTGCCTATGACCCCAAGAACACCATCCCCACCGTCAAACATGGAGGTGGAAACATTATGCTTTGGGGGTGTTTTTCTGCTAAAGGGACAGGCCAACTTCACCGCATCAAAGGACAATGGACGGGGTCATGTACCGTCAAATATTGTGTGAGAACCTCCTTCCCTCAGCCAGAGCATTGAAAATGGGTCGTGGATGGGTATTCCAGCATGACAATGACCCATAACACACGGCCAAGGCAACAACGGAGTGGCTCAAGAAGAAGCACATTAAGGTCCTGGAGTGGCCTAGCCAGTCTCCAGACCTTAATCCCACAGAAAGTCTGTGGAGGGAGCTGAAGGTTCGAGTTGCCAAACGTCAGCCTCGAAACCTTAATGACTTGGAGAAGATCTGTAAAGAGGAGTGGGACAAAATCCCTCCCAGATGTGTGCAAACCTGGTGGCCAACTACAAGAAACGTCTGACCTCTGTGATTGCCAACAAGGGTTTTGCCACCAAGTACTAAGTCATGTTTTGCAGAGGGGTCAAATACTTATTTCCCTCATTAAAATGCAAATACATTTATAACATTTTTGACATGCGTTTTTCTGGATTTTGTTGTTGTTATTCTGTCTCTCACTGTTCAAATAAACCTACCATTAAAATTATAGACTGATCATTTCTTTGTCAGTGGGCAAACGTACAAAATCAGCAGGGGATCAAATACGTTTTTTCCCTCACTGTAACGTATTTAATCGCGCGGTTTAAATGTATTTTGTTATATTCTTTGGATCTTTCGGGAAAGATTGACGACGATCGCTTGTGTTGTGATCGAAACGTCGTCGTTTTTATTTTTGTATTTACTTTTATTTTTCTTTCTACGCGACTTTACCGAAAGATCAAAATAATATAAATTCCTGCAGCCACGAAAGTTTTTACGTCAAAAATAGTATTTTGTTACGCTTTCAATTACGTTCCGCGTTTTATTTTAATCCAATTAGAGCATTAACGTGATGTTGCAACGAGGTAACTACGACTTGGGAGCTGTGGTCAGGGCCGGATTAAGGCACGGGGGCTTTAGGGGTTGCAGGCCAGGGGGCCTCCACCAGCTGAAGGGCCTCCAGAGATGAAGTGAAAAGTGATTTCGCTTGTGAATGCTGAATTTTATTTGTTGTGCCTTGTAAAAATTACATTTTAATTTTTCTTTAACTTTGTTTTCCTATTGAAATATATTACTGGGGTCCCCACAGTACCTGTAGCCCAGGGGCCTACAAAATCTTAAGCCGGCCCTGGCTGCGGTGGCTGCATTTTGCGAAAGTGGAGTGACCCCCTCCAGCGTTTAATGTTCGAGACCGTGAGCGCAATGACGACGATGCGATCAGTCGAAGAGAGGGGTCGCGATGTACAACAATTGCCTGGGTTCGACCGCGCGGGGACAACTCAAATACTGCGGGCCCCACCTGACCGATTAATGCGTGATACATCCTGCGACTCAGAGACTCTTCCTCGTCACCAACATCCCCACCGCCCTCCCCGCATCTCTCGCAGGCGCAGGAAAGGGCCTCACCAGAGCCACACGCCGCACCTGGCCAGCCTGTGGCTCTCTCCGGCTCGGAGCCCGAGTCCCGACATCCACGGCGTTATCCGGGATCAGGCGGCGGCGGCGGCGTCGTTCGGCGCGCCTCCAGATGTCAGCTCGTTCCGTCGCCGCTCCGAGTCGCTGGGTCCCAGCGTTGGAGGAGGCGGCGGTGGCGGCGGTGGTGGCGGTGGAGGCGGTGGTGGCTCCAGCAGCAGCAGCAACAGCAGCAGCAACAGCAGCAGCAGCATCTCGGGCCGCTATGACAACATCAAGTGCGGGGTCAGAGAAGCGGCGGTGATCTGACGAGAGTGTAAACTGTTTAAACGACTGAACAATTTTACGCTCATTTATTTTCCATTTTTCACTCGGTAAAGGCCCCACTGAGCTGCGACGTAGCTCTCTTTTTTTTTTTCAGAAGCGACCTGGCCACAAATGATAGCTCGTCATCACGTGGCATTTTATAGCGGCCAAATACTCGACTAAACGTGTGATGTTTTGGTTTAAAGCTTTCGTGACTGCAGGGATTCATATTCCTGTTTCTTTCGGTAAAGTCACGTCGAAGGGAAACAATGAGATATTTTATTGTTTTATATTTTTATCACTCTATTGTTTCCCTTCGACGTGACTTTACCGAAATAGCCAAGACTATAAACGCGTGATGTTGATTATAAATATGGAGGCGGGCGGGGGGGGGTGGGAAATAAAACGGAGGACCCGGAGAGAAATCCTCGCGACCACGTGGAGAGAGAGACACCGAAAACTCCAAATATCTACCAGGCGTCAGGCGAGGTAGTTAACGTCTCACCACCGTGGCCAGTGTGTGACACAGGGCAGCCACACTTTTATTTTATTTCCCACTGCAGACTTGGTTTTCTCAGCCAGTGCGTGCGATTTGCGTGATGAAAGCTGTGCAGCGATACTGGAATAAAGTCCGCGTCAATGAATCCTGTGCTGCTCTATCACCCGAACGAAGAGGCCGATTGTCAGACAGTCCACCTCAAACCGGGATTAGCGGTAACCCTCTCCTGTGAAAGGTTGTCAGCAGTAGCAGCACTATCATCAGCTTCCCCTTCATCATCAAGTTGCACTAAGATTGATGGATTAGCTGCTGCTGCTGCTGCTGGATCACAATCAGCTGCATAGTCGTCAGCAGCTGTTGGGAGGATTATCTTCATTTATCATGATCATCATCAGCATCGACGTAATTCTTACCGGCGTCATGATTACCAGCAGCAGCAGCAGTTGTAGCAACAGCAGCAGCTGTAGCGTCAACTGCAGAAATGTAACGATCAGCTGTAACATGATCATCAGGGGCAGCAATAGCAGCAGCGGCATTTGCGTAATCATCAACATTGAGCCATGGCCTATCCACTGCTGGATGAAGGCCTCACCACGCCATCCACATGAGCCATGGCCTATCCACTGCTGGATTAAGACCTCACCACACCATCCTCATGCGTCATGGCCTATCCACTGCTGGGTGAAAACCTCAAAACGCCATCCACATGAGCCATGGCCTATCCACTGCTGGATGAAGACCTCACCACACCATCCACATGCGTCATGGCCAATCCATTGCTGGATGAAGACCTCACCACGCCATCCACATGAGCCATGGCCTATCCACTGCTGGATGAAGGCCTCACCACGCCATCCACATGAGCCATGGCCTATCCACTGCTGGATGAAGGACTCACCGCACCATCCACATGAGCCATGGCCTATCCACTGCTGGATGAAGGCCTCACCACGCCATTCACATGCGTCATGGCCTATCCACTGCTGGATGAAGGCCTCACCACGCCATCCACATGAGCCATGGCCTATCCACTGCTGGATGAAGGCCTCACCGCACCATCCACATGAGCCATGGCCTATCCACTGCTGGATGAAGGCCTCACCACGCCATCCTCATGAGCCATGGCCTATCCACTGCTGGATTAAGACCTCACCACACCATCCTCATGAGCCATGGCTTATCCATTGCTGGATTAAGACCTCACCACGCCATCCTTATGAGCCATGGCCTATCCACTGTTGGATGATGGCCTCACCACATCATTCACATGAGCCATGGTCAATCCACTGTTGGATGATGGCCTCACCACACCATTCACATGAGCCATGGTCTATCCACTGTTGGATGATGGCCTCACCACACCATTCACATGAGCCACGGTCAATCCTGCTGGATGAAGACCTCCCCAAGCCATCTACATGAGCCACGGTCAATCCACTGCTGGATGAAGGCGACCTTACACCGTAGTCACGTGACAAAATAAGGTCGCTTTAAAAAAATAAGTTCATGCCTCAGTGGGCTTTGCCTGGTAGGATGGTTTAGTTTTATTTATAAGTTTTGTGGTCATTTGTTGGCGTTCCTGTACTTCAGCACTACTGTCGTGTTTGTTGTTGTACTGTTTGTTGTTGTATTGTTTGTTGTTGTAACGTTCTTACCCTGTGCCCCGACTGGACACCTGTGAAAAAGAGCTTTATAGCTCATCGGATTCCTCCTGCAAAAAAATAATATTCTGATTCTGGCCACCTACCCCAGCCCCCCCTCGCCCCTTCATAAGTGCTGCTCATTGACAGCACTTGCCCCATCCCTTGGAGGCTATTCGGGGGATCTTTGTCTCGTATTTGTCTGTGACTGCGCACACGTGTATGCGTATCTATGTCTTTTGCGTATGTCTTTCTTTGTTGTGAGTGTGTATGTGTGCGTATGTGTGTATGTGTGTGTGCGTATGTCTGAATGTGTGTGCGTGTGTGTGTATTTGCGCTGTAAGACCTACATCTCTGCTTTATTGACCTGGTCAAGGCCTATGATACCATCAGTAGGCCAGGGCTCTGGGTTGTTCTTCGTGCTTTTGGAGTCCCTGACCCTCTGCTCACCATCATTAAGGTCCTTAATGATTGTGAGCAGGGGCCGGGTAAAACTACGTGGCCGGGAGTCAGAGCCATTCCCTGTACACCTTGGGGTGCGACAGGGATGTCCTCTGGCTCCTACATTATTTAACATCTATTTTGACCACGTAGTTCGTGAAGCCTTCAATAGCTGTACCGTGGGAATCTCCATATGGTACAGATATAATGGGAGGCTGATCGATGCCCGGGTGCGGTCAAGGGATGGCTCCCTATTGCTCAACTACGTTATGTATGCCGATGATTTGGTAATAGCTGCTCATTCAGAGGAGGAGTTGGAGACGCTGCTGCTGGGACTGGAGCGGGCTACTAAGAGATGGGGCCTTACCATTACCCCCACCAAACTAAGCACCTGCCTGGGTATTTTGTACCATCGGACACTCCACCCCCACAACTCCCAATCGGTGATGGGGCAGTTGTGGACAGAGTGGAGAGTTTCCCATACCTGGGCAGTGTGCTTATGACCGGCTCCAGTTTAACAGCAGAGGTCTCACTCCGAATCAGTCGAGCGGCAATATCTTTTCATCGGTTGCATAACGCTGTGTGGAAGCTACCTGGTCTGTCGCTTCAGGTCTTCTCGGCCACGGTCATTCCCTCCCTTCTCTATGCTTGTGAAACGTGGACCCCCCTAATGGAACATCTTCGCCGGTTACAAACATTTAGGCTGGCCTGCCTACGATCCATCCTGGGTTTAACCAGGCTGGATTGTGTGAGGAGCTCACAAATTCTTGAAAGATCTGGTCACGGTCCCATCGGTGAGCTCCTCCGGCAGGCAAGGCTGCATTCGCTGGGTCATGTAGCCCGCATGCCCAGCCACCGCATGCCGAAACAGCTTTTGTTCGGCCGGATCGAGGGGGCTAAACGGGCGCGGCACGGGCTGGAGAAGAGATGGAGTGATGTGGTACAGGAGGACGTGGAGCTGAGTGGACTTGCCGATGACTGGTACCAGCGGTGTCAAGATCGGCCTCTGTGGAGGAGGCTCGTGAAGGACGCTACTGGGCAGTTGGAGGCAGTCGCCCTCCAACAACAACGGAGGGCGCAGGAGCGACGCTCACAACAACGAGCGGAGCGCCGGGTGGCTAACGCACAGCAGGTTGGCACAGTAGGGGGCACAGGTGGTGCATCAGCCAGTCATCTCAGTCAGTCGACCCGTGGCACCTGTGTCTGCCCCGTGACCTCCTGCCAGCGGGCGTTCGACACTTCACGTGGCCTCAAGGTGCACATGGCCTGGCACAAGCGTCGTGGTGACGTCACTGCCACTTAGCGGCGAATGGCGGTTGTTGTTGTTATTTGTGCTGTATGGGGAGCGGTAGTGTAGCGGTTAGCGTGACGCTGCGCTACGAACCCGGCGACCCGAGTTCGATTCCCGATCACGGCCAACACCCAGTGAGGATTATTTGAACGGTCATGGGCCTCCTCTAGGTCGACTCAGCCTCAAATGAGTACACCGGTGCGGTGTGTGTAGTAAACAGTCACTCGGGAGTGTGCCGTGCCGCCCTTCACAGGTGCTGCTCGCTAACAGCACTTGCCCCTAATAGTCTATTGAACGCTACACGGGGGATCTTTGTCTTTGATTGCGTGCTTGCTGCTGTCGAATCAGGAGTCGGCAGCCTGCGGCACCGGAGCCGCACGCGGCTGCGGTGGCTATTTAAGGACCGTTGCTTTGTGGCGTTGTTTGTCGAGGCACACGTGCCGTGTCAACCCGTGCCGTGTCAACCCGTGCCGTGTCAACCCGTGCCGTGTCAACCCGTGCCGTGTCAACCCATACCATGTCAACCCGTGCCGTGTCAACCCTTACCGTGTCAACCCGTGCCGTGTCAACCCGTGCCGTGTCAACCCGTACCGTGTCAACCCGTGCCGTGTCAACCCTTATCGTGTCAACCCTTATCGTGTCAACCCGTGCCGTGTCAACCCGTACCATGTCAACCCTTACCGTGTCAACCCGTGCCGTGTCAACCCGTGCCGTGTCAACCCTTACCGTGTCAACCCGTGCCGTGTCAACCCGTGCCGTGTCAACCCGTGCCGTGTCAACCCTTACCGTGTCAACCCGTGCCGTGTCAACCCTTACCGTGTCAACCCGTGCCGTGTCAACCCGTGCCGTGTCAACCCGTGCCGTGTCAACCCGTACGGTTTACCCCGCGTTCTTGTGCAGGGAAATTGAGTTTGCAGGTCCACGCGGCGTACAGCAGTTTCAATGCGGGCAGCAAAACGTTTTTTTTTGTTCGTCTATTTGTGTTTCTCCATCGTGATGGCACGTTTGTAGGTCGAACGTTGGGATTTATAAGGGGCACGGGGTGACCAATAAGCTCTGAATTGGTCCGTAATAAGGTAGGGCACTGATGAAGGGTTGACATGTATGTAGTCGTGTAGTGTATAGTGCAGTGTATAGTAGTGTACAGTGTAGAGTGTAGTGTATAGGATGAACGTTGAGGTTGATAAGGGGCACGGGGTGACCAATGATGTCTGCATTGGTTTGCAAGAAGGGAGCGCATGACAACGAGTTGACCGCTATGTTAAGGACCCACCGTCTCGTATTCGCATCGTCCGTTGGTGAATCCTCGTCACCCCTTATGGGACACAAGGCCGCGACGACTTGCCTGCACTTATTCCCGTCCTCGTATCCACCACGTGGCATTGAAATATCGAGCGAAACAAAACAACATTTTTGCCCGACCGAATTCGACCAAAAACAAAATGTTTGGCTCTTCTCGATAAAATTTTTTTCTTGCGTTTGCCGACCCCTTGCTCTGTACGAATAGGTGCCACTCGCTAACAGCACTTGGACCCCCAACAGTCTGCTGAAGGCGATACGGGGGGGGTGGGTGTGGGGTGGGCGGGGTGTGTGGGATTCTTTTCCTTTTGCAGCAGCCGAGGGGAGGCGGCGGAGGCGGCGGAGGCGAGGGCAACACGAGCGAGAGCGGCTGCGGGACCCTGGCGAGCGTCGCCGGCTCGGAGGGGCGCCGCGCCACCGACTCGTGGCCGCGCCGCGCCGCCTTCTACGGCACCGGCGACGGCGGCCGGGGACTCGAGGGCAGCGGTGATTCCGGGTGGATCGACAGCGATGGCTGCTACTGAGAGTGACCAGGGAGCGGGGGGGGGGGGGCAGGCAGGGGGGTTGCCTTGCACCTCCTACCCCGCGCCCCCCCCCCCCCACTTAGCCCCCCGGTAGCTAAAGCTACGTGTTCGAGGGGGCCCACCTTGACTAACCACCGGATTATGGAGCTGTTTAAGTGGCTTGCGTTTTGCGGAGAGACAGCCCCCCCCCCCCTACAGAATTAAATGAAGCAATTGGCGGGACCCCGGGGTCCCATCACTGCCCTGGGGTGGGAAAAACCGCGTAGCGACACGAGTCTTGTTGCCTTACCGACAACGCAACTAGTGGTCAATCGATTGGCCTCGTCGAGAGCTACTCGGGGCACTAAGTTTCGTAAAAAGTTGAAAAATTACATAAACACGTTAAATTCACAGCCTGGGGGGCGGGCTCGCCTTGGCAAAGAAGCTGAGGATCGACGGCTGACCGGAGGGCGCCGTCGCCGCGCGCGACTGCGGCGGACGCCCCCCGGGGCTCGCGTCTGGCCGGTGGGGTGGCGCCCATCGTGTTGATCGCCTGCTGCTGCTGGCGCTTGTTGGTGCGAGTCTGGGCGGGCGGCGCGTTGCTGTCGGGGTCACGTAGTGGGCGGACTGAAAAATAATAATTATTGACCTGATTTTTGCGGGACCCCGGGGTCCCGCCAAATGATTCAAATGTTCGAGACCGTGAGCGGAACGACGATGCGGTTAGACAGGCAAGAGAGAAGTCCGTGATATACAATAGCCTGGGTGTGACCGTGCGAGACGAATCACAATATTGGGGCCCCACCTGATCGATTGCTGCACCACCTGAGTTGTTAATGTAGTTACTATGTCACTGATAATGTAGTTACTACGCCACTGATAATTCACTATGTAACACAATTTTTGTTCCTGGGTAGTAAGTGTTATTTCGTAATTGCTTATGCCTAAAAAGTATAGAAAATGGCTATTATTCCCCACAAACTTTGCTTTTGTGACCAAGACAGTGATATTTTGACATTTACCTATTTTCCATGAGAAAACGGGCGAATTTGTGTCTTTTCGTTCACATAAAGTCAGAAAAAAACAACATATGAATCAAAACTAACATGTATTTTACTAAAGTAATACAAAAATTGCTACAAAAGATTTAGAAGTGAGTAGTTTTTCGAGATTTACGATTATACTGTAAATCACTTTCACGAATCAGCCCCCAAATGTAGTCTCCCATCATGTTCTCGTTATACTGTCCTTGATAGTGGCGTTCAAAGTCCAGTATATCCTGGTGGAAGTGCTCGCCTTGCTCCTACGAGTATGCTCCCATGTTCTCCTTGAATGAATCAAGATGAGCATCAATGATATGGACTTTGAGGGACACCCTACAGCCCATTGTGCCGTAGTTCTTCACCAGAGTCTCAACCAGCTCCACAGTTTTCGACCTTGTGATTGCCCAGGAAACCACGAACCACTGCAACAAAGCTCTTCCAAGCCGCTTTCTCCTTACTAGTCAGCTTCTTGGGGAATTCATTGCACTCCAGGATCTTCTTTATCTGTGGTCCGACAAGACACCGGCTTTGACCTTTGCCTCAGACAGGTTAGGGAAGAAGTCTTGAAGGTACTTGAAGGCTGCCGATTCCTTATCTACAGCTCTGACAAATTGTTTCATAAGGCCCAATTCGATGTGCAGTGGTGGCAGTAGCACCTTCCGGGGGTCCACCAATGGCTCCCACTTTACGTTGTTCCTCCCCACAGAGAACTCGTTCGGCTGTGGCCAGGCCCGCCGGTGGTAGTGCGCCTTGGTGTCCCTGATGTCCCAAAGGCAAAGATAGCTGGAAAACTTGGTAAAACCGCTTTGGAGACAAATCAGGAATACGACCATTTTGAAGTCTCTGATGACCTCCCAGCCGTACTCATCATACTTCAAGGCGTCCTGCAAGGTCTTGATGCTGTTGTAATCCTCTTTGAGGTGCACCGAATGAGCCAGGGGAAGAGACGGATACTTGTTCCCATTATGGAGCAACACGGCTTTGAGGCTCCTGGATGAGCTGTCAATGAAGAGGCGCCACTCATTTGGTTACAGGCGATTCCGATTGCCGAACAGACTGGTCACATTGTGGAAGAAGCAGAGTCCATCTTGACGGGTGAAGAAGCTGCAAAAAGATTGGTGACGCTTCCTCTGTGACTTGCACACTTTGATCCAACAAGTTCCACTGCTTGAGCCTAGATATCAAAAGCTCGGCATTGGACTTGGTGAGACCAAGATCTCTGATCAAGTCGTTGAAGTCTTTTTGGTTGGGGTAGTATGGATTTCTCTCCTCAGCTCCACCTCTGAAATTGTCATCTGGATCTACGTCTTCCTCGCTCTCTGACTTGCTGCTCTCTTCTAAAGACAGCTGCTCTCTCTCCAGAAGAGTGGGTACGGGGAGCTCATGGCAGTGTGGCATTGGAGCGATGGATGAAGGTCCGGATACGTGATAGCAGGTGCATTCTTGCCAGCACGACGTTGGAAGGGTCCACCATGCAGAAGTAGCAGTTGCTTGAGTGGTCAGTGGTTTCCCGCCAAATTCTTGGGATAGCGAACTTCATGGCTCTCTTTCCCCTCTGTACCATCCTAAAAAAATACATTGATTTCACCCATGACTAATGTGTAAGAGATTCTCGCAACATTTTTCATGTTAAATCTTTTTTCAATAACATTAAAAATTGTAAAACATTTAAAAATGAAAAACTTTACAATGAATTTTTTTTTACAAATTTTAGAACTTTAAATTCCGAGCAACAATTGTCCATCTTCCCTTCCAGAGTTTTTTTTTCCATTTCTCGCAGGTGAAATGAGGTGCCCAGTGTTTGTCTTGATCCCCAACAGGCATGCCGAAATATGCCTTGTAGGCCTCGCACATCTTAGCAGATGCTTCCACAGAGTAATTTTTCGCCCTTGTCTTCATAAATTGGCCGCAGACAAAGCAAAATGCGTCTGCCGGATGCTTGCAGCCTCTTGATGCCATCTCAGAAAAATGCAGATATGTATCCACTTAGGCAGCTGGAACTAAACTGAACTGTTGGGCTTAAGGCCCCTGTATTTTATACTATTTATATACTGGAAAGTTCTGGAATGTTCTAGAAGTTACTCCAAGTTTACTCAGCACTGAATCTATCTGGAATGTTACGGAAAATAGGTAAATTTCAAAATATCACTGTCCTTCTGTACTGTTGAGGCATACGCAATTAGGAAATAACACTTACTACCCAGGAACAAAAAAAATGTTACACAGTGTAATTTAGTTACTTACGTCACTGATAATGTTGTTATTACGTCTCTGATAATGTAGTTACTACCTCACTGATGATGTAGTTACTATGTCACTGATGATGTAGTCACTGATAATGTAGTTACTACGTCACTGATAATGTTGTTACTACGTCTCTGATAATGTTGTTACTACGTCACTGATAATGTAGTTACTACCTCACTTATGATGTAGTTACTACGTCACTGATGATGTAGTCACTACCTTACTGATAATGTAGTTACTACGTCACTGATAAATAATGGAAAACACAAATGAAGCATGGGCATGTAAGTCCGACAACTACTTTGTTTCATCAAACCCCTTTGTATTGCTTCACATTACACATTTAACAACGATTGCGTGCACCCCAGGTTAAGAACCACTGCTTAACAGTGATTAGACAGTGGTCAAATGTTCTGGAACTGTGTGCAGTGACTTGTGCGCACAAGGCAGGTGTCAGAAACAGATCAAAGCTATACCGGGCTGAACTGAGATTGAATCTGGTAGTCGCACAGGAGTAAAATTATTTTTTAAGGTTGTTCTGAACTGAGATGTCACCATCTGGTGTGGAGCATTGATTCTTCTTCTTAACCTGGGATGCATGCCACTCTCTGGGGGTGCGAGATGCCCTTTCTGGGGGGGGGGGGTGCGAGACATGGCAAGATTTTTTTAGACGGCAAACAATCGAAACACAAATTTTGCACGGGCACGTAAGTTCAACAACTACTTTGTTTCATCAAATCCTAAGTATTTGTTAACATTGTACTTTTGTTAACGATTGAGAATCAAAGGGCTGCAAGGCTGCAGTAAAGGTTTAAGAACCGCTGTGCTCGAAACTTAAACTAAACGCATTTTAATTTTTAATTTTACCAGGTAAGGCCCTACTGAGCTACATAGCTCTTTTTCACAAGCGACCTGGCCACAAATGATGGCTCAACGAAGTGGCTTATCACGTGGACATTTATAGCAGACAAATGCCCTAAAGTCATGTTTCTAAGTAGAGAGGAAAACATCAGAGGACCCGATTAGAAAAAGCCACGCGACCATAAGGAGAGAGAGACACGCAGACTCCAAATATACAGCAGGCGTCAGGGTCGGGATCGGACCCACGACCTCCTGTATACCAGGCGAGGTAGTTAACATCTCAGCCACAGTGATGATGATGATGAGAGAGAGAATGACGCAAACTCCAAATATACAGCAGGCGTCAGGGTCGGGATCGGACCCACGACCTGCTGTATACTAGGCGAGGTAGTTAACATCTAGCCACCGTGATGATGAGCGAGACACGCAAGCTCCAAATATACAGCAGGCGTCAAGGTCGGTATCGAACCCACGACCTTGTGTACACCAGGCGCGGTAGTGAACATGCCCGAGCCACTGCGAGATGAGACCGCTAAGTGACACCGTTCCCTTCCACGGAGTTCCCTCATTTCATACAAGAGACTGCCGCTCGGCAGGCAGCTAAAGTTTAAAGCAGAGAGTTGACTTCCCCGAACTGCTGAGATGAGGGTTAAAGGTTGACATACTCACTGGAAAATATCCGTAACTGCTGAGCGGGGGGGGGGGGGTATAAATTGATCCACGTTCGTTTGCCAAGGGAAGCAATAAGTCACGCAGGCCTTCTCAATAAGTCGGGCAACGGTGGTGGCTAGACAGGTGACTGCCACCTGTGATCCAGCGCTGTTGCAGGAGGTAGCAGCAGCAGCGAGGGTTGGTGGATCACGGTGGCTCGCGTT